TTGTCTAATTGTTATTTTCAAATAAAGAAGGTTGCTTTACATTTTCTATTGATGATTTAAATCAACGGCTACAATGATTTATATCTTGAAATTGAATTTTAATTTAGATAAATTGTTGTTAATTAAACTTTTTTTGGGTATTAATGAGTTTTTTGGGAATGAAACACAACCCAAAACAGTTCTTTGAAATTGTATTTTAATTTAGATAAATTGTTGTTAATTAAATTTTTTTGGGAATGAAACACAACCCAAAATTCAATAGGGCAAAATTTTTAATTAAAACATTATTTGAAAAATTGTTATACAAAAGAAAACAGAGGCTATGGGCGGGTGGGGTGGATTACTCAAGCAAAGAGGTGATTGTGTGTATTTATGGTGGTGGTGTGGGCAGAGTGTGAAAGATTAGAGAAATTCAGAGGCAGGGAGAGGCTTACTTGGGAAAGTGCTGCCACTGTGTGCGATGGAGGAGAGAGCTGAGATACAGAGAGAAGATAGAAAATCCTAAGAAAAATTGATAGTGTTTCAATGGTTTGGGAGTTACAAAACTCTAAGAACTCTTCTTTAATTGACAGTGTTTAAAGGAGTCTTTTTATTTTGGAAATAGGTATGAAACAGAGAAAAATATGTGGGTATAATTGACTTTAAAATAATAATTAGGGATAAAATAAAAAATCAAAAATTTTTCACACATCCTGACATTTATAAGTAGTATAGATTTGTGAGTGTTTTTAACATTATTATAGTAACGAAAAAGTGATAAAAATAATTATTATAATAGTGATAAAAATATTCATAATAGTGATAAATAACACATAAAAATAATATATATTTTTTTGTACTGAAGAAAAGTGATAAAAATAATTATTACTAAAGTGATAAAAACACACATAAAAGAAATAAATTTTGTAGTTTTAAAATTATATACAAAAATTATAAAAATACCTATTAAAAAAATAAAATTTAAAAATAGGGTGTTACGAAGTCAAGGCGCCGGAGACTTGGGTCATCGTCTCCATTGGAATGCTCCAGCATTCAACCCTTTGTTTGCTTTATTGGAGATCGTGACCAGTCATACCACTGTCGACCATGTGAACCAGGTCTTGACAAAGGCTTTATAAATTTATTTTGAAAAATAAATATTTAATATTAATTTTTTTTAAGACAAGCAAAAATTGACAAAAATATCTTTAATTTAAAAAAAAGGGGAGAATTGCACTTTGTACCCTAAAATACTTTAAGATTCATTAACTTTCCCAAGTTACACTTTTTTTTTTAGTCATTCACATTACACCCTCAATATATTATAAGTGTTGTAATGTCAATGAGTTGACTTTTTATTAGGTTTTTGTCAATTTTTTCGTCAGTGTAAAGGAATTAATTTTTGACGAAAAAAATAATGGAGGTTAACAGAAAAGATATATTACAATATTTTTGATACATTGGAGATACAATATAAGATATTTAATATTTGAGGGTATAAAATGAAAAACTTGAAATCTTTCAAGATATAAAGTATGAAAAACCCTAAAAAATTACTTAAAAGGAGTTATTGTCAAATGGTGGCTAAGTTTATCCATTCTCTTGTTAGCTACTAATATTAATCTCATTACTCGAAAGGTCAAAGTGAATTTGCTCCGTACGTGGAGCATATTAATACAAGCAAGAACGAAAAATAATTTTTTTGGGAAAAATTGATCCACACTCCTTTAGCTACAAATTAAACTAAGATTTATGTAAATTGTGTATACATCAACGTGACAGCAAGAGCGACAACGAAAGCGAAAGAGGGAGGGGGGTGGATTCATAAATTTGCACCTTTGACTGAATAGATCACTTTTATGGTATGTTCGGTAGGGTAGGTGAAAAAATAAAAGGATGAAAAATGAGAGTGATACACTTTTTATTTTTCAAGGAAGAAATCATTATTTCACTCTTTTGCATTTGGTTGGAATGATAGAAAGTAGAATTTTTTTTTGGTATTTGATAGAATGTAAAAGTGGAAAGATGAAATAAGTATTGATGCATATTTTAGCATTATATTTATATATAAAACTATTATGTATATAATATGTAATAGATAAATAGAATATATATGTATATATTAAAGGATATAAAGGTAAATAATATATATTTCCACACACATAATCTATTTTTCTCTCAATTTTGGAGGACAAATTTTAGTGAGTTGAAAGTACAGTTAGATCATCTCCAAGGAGCTAGTTATTTGACATTTATTAGCTAAAATAGAGAGCCAAACCACAAAATTGTACTCAAAGAGACTAGTTATTTGGCTAGCTATTTTACATTTTAGCTAAATGATTTTTTACATTTGGCTAGCCTCCTTGGCTAGCTATTTTATATGTAGAGAGCCAAATAACTCTTTTTGTTCTCCAAGGGCACAGTCATTTTGCATATTGATGACATGTCAAGCTATGCAATATTTTGACTTAAAATATTAATAATAGTTAGCTAAAATAGAGAGCATGGATAAAACAACTTTGTAAAAATGGCTCTTTAAAATAAAGAATGTAATATTTTAATATGTTTTGGGTAACTATTTTGAAGAGTACATTTGAAATGCTCTTTTAATTCATCTATTTTTCTATCATTTCTTATCAAATATGATGTTTATTTATCATTCTAATTTTTTATCCTTCATATTTTTCATCTTTCTATTATACCAAACAAAACATTAGATTAGAGACAAATGATGTGTCGACAAAAAATTTGGTAAATGATATATCACATTGATATTCATTGAATAGTTAACCAGAGTTTTTGGGACCTATCGATTCTATAGTTTACAATGATTTGTGATTCAAAATTTGTAAAATTTTTGATGAATTTAGCATTGTTGTAGATTTATAAGAGGATGCAGTAGTGATGAATCGGGTTTTTGAAAAGCATTGTGGGTTTACATCTTCGCTTTGATATGTCTCTTCCTCTCCCCCTATATTCCTCTCACCTACCCGTGAGAGTAAATGTTTCATTTTATAGAGTCATAGTTAAAATGAAACCACGGTCAATTAAATTTGTGTTTAAAACAAAGTTAAAATGTAAAATATTATATTTAATTTATGAAAAAGAAATACAAATGGGTTGTTTTTGTAAAACGTCATTTACCTGCTAACATTGTCATAGATAAAATATGTCGGGTGTGAGCGAAGTTGTAGATAGTAAAGGAACAACTAATACTATTTAGATCAAATTTTTTGACATAATTTTTTGATTTAATTTATCACAACTGATGACGCACAAATTGGTTTGCACACCACCTGTCAAGTATGCAGTATAAAATACAGTAAAATAGGTAGAGGGAAAGAGATGACAAGGTTTATAGTGGTTTGGTCAACGTGACCTACGTCCACTTTTAATGGCAAGGGTCATCGGTATTTTATTATCTCCGGTGTGGAAGGAGAGCAGAATGTTACAAGTTTTGAGAGAGTTATGCTCAAATGAGTGAGATGCCCCCAAGTGTTGGTGGGGCTTATAATTTATAGTGGCTTAGTGTAGTAATTGAATAGCTAATCTGACGATCATAACGGGTTGGAACCGTTTAATAGTCATAACGGATTGGAGTGACTTTAACAGTGATTAAATAACTTGGTGATCTCTCATCTCTTCAATGAGCAAGGAAGTTATGATACTTTCCAAAGGACTTGGTCAAAGGATGAGGGATGGTCACTTTCTCTGAGCGGCGAGGGTGAAGCTTCTGGATGCTCCCTTACTCCAAGGTGGAGAGGAGGCTCTTGGATGACCCTTATTCTAAGGTGGTAGAAGAGGCTTTTGATGACCCTTACTCCAAGGTGGTAGAGGAGGCTCTTGGACGATCATTGCTCCAAGGTGGTAGATGAGACTTTTGGATGACCCTTACTCCAAGGTAGTAGAGGAGGCTCTTGGATGACCCTTGCTCCAAGGTGGTAGAGGAGGCTCTTGGATGGGTCCTTAGACGACCCTGTGTGTTCCTCTACTGATGTAACTCTTGGAACCTGATGAGTTTGACTGGGTGCAAATCTTTTTGGGCTTGGCTAGCTGGACCTCTTGGAGTTGGACCCTTGGGCTTGGCTCATCATTTGTCCCTTAATGCCCTATGTCCAATGAAGCTTGGAGAGGAGGGTACTCGATTGAGTTTGAATTTTTGGCTGACCGACACAGTTGAAAAAATTTCGGGAGGCCAAAACATCTATTTCTAGGCTTTTTTTGGACTTTTAACATCATCAATCATAGCCTTTGTGTTTTGTAGGGCTCACCGAGAGCTTTGATTTGATATATTATAAACCTCATTTGGAGTAACGGAGTAAAAGTTACGGTCAAAACTTTGAGCAGAAAACTAGGCAAGCAATTTGGGCGAGCAGCACTGTTCTGGGTGAGCAGATTTTTTTTTTAAAACTTCGGAAGGCCAAAGGTAATGAAATTTGTTCATCTCGGCAAGAGCTTCGATTTGATATATAATAAGTCTTATTTAGAGTTTCGGATCAAGATTCACGGTCAAAATAGCGTGCAGGGAGCTGGGTGCGCAGTTTGGGTGACCAGGCAGCTTCTGGGTGAGTAGCGAGTGTCCTGGGCAAGTAGTAACATTTTAATTTTTTTTTATAAAAAAAAACTTTGAGAGAGCAAAACAGCTATTTCTGAGTCTTTTATTGAATTTTTATAGCGTCTTTCACTGCTATAAGCAGTGAATTTTGTAAGGCTCACTGAGAGCTTCAATTTGATATATAATAAGTCCCATTTGGAGTTTCAAATCAAAAGTTTTGATCAAAATAGTGTGCAGCCCTTTTTAAATCCAAATTTTTTAAAAATTCCTCTTGATCGGCCACCCCATTCCTTCCAATAGACTCCTTTTACTTGTAGGACTCTATTGACTATATAAACTGCTTCTTTCACTTTCCTTTTGGATTTTTGAAGAGATCGTTGTTGTCCCTAGAGAAGAAGAATAGAGAACTGAGGGAGTGGTTTTAGTGGAGTGGCTTGTTGTGCACGCGTTTGGAGTGTGTGAGAAGGAGGCATTGGGCACCCAGGCTGTGGCGACCCCAATCTTAGTGAGCAAGCCAGGCGAGAAAGGGAGGCGCGCAGGTGTATGGGCTTGCCTCGGGCGCTGCTAGCGTGCAAGCTAGGAGCGCATGGTATGCGTTGTAGAGAGGAAGCAGGCCAAGTGAGCGGGGCTGCTACGGCGACGATCCATGTTGGGAGAGCAGGCTGTGCGCCTTGGCAGTTTCGGGCAAGCAGGATGGGTTCCTTGGCAATTTTGTTAAATGGGAGTTCATGGAGGGCCCTCGTGCAAAAGCTGGGTGTTGAGGATGTCGAGACCGAGATGGTGACCCATGCCGCAGGAACTGAGATGAGGGGCGCCGGAGTGGGGGCGCCATTGGCATGGGGAGGCGCTATGGTGTCAAATGAGATGCCCCATGCGTTGGGTGCTAATGGAGATGCGCTTATGGTGCTGGGCACTATTGTAGAAGTCCCTATGGTGATGGGCACCGCCGGAGAGGAGCCCATGGTACTGGGCGTTGTTGTCTGGCGATTTTGTTGATCGCGATGAGGTGCACTATTTGGAGGCAAGCGCAAGTAGAGCTTGTTTGCGCTAAGTGTTAAGCACGGGGTGCTGCGGCAACAAGGCGATGGTGCCAGATGGGCACAAAAGAATGAGGTCCGATTATTGACGTTCAATTTAATGTAGTCCCTTGGGTTGCAGACGACCTGAGTTTCAAGTGCCTGGCTAGAGATGACAAAAACAATATTATTCCAAATATTAAAATATCTAACATAATTACTCAGAGAAAGAGGTACGCTGCTTGCGCGAGAGCAAAGACAAAGTTTGAGGATTGCTCATAAGAGAGCTACACCTTTTGAGACCAAGCTTTTGACAATCCATGAGAGAGTTCTTAAGCTTGAGGTATAAGCTGTTTGCTTGAGAGCAGAGTAGAGGCCAAACTTTTGACGACCTGCGAGAGAGTTACTAAGCTGGAAATATAGGCTGCCTATTTGAGAACAGTGTAGAGACCCAGCTTTTGGTAACTTGTGAGAGATCCGCTCAGGTGAAAATAGGATACCTGCTTAAAAGCAGTGCAGAGGCTAAGCTTTTGACGTCCCGTGAGAGAGCCACTCAGGTGGAAATAAGCTGTCTGCTTAAAAGCTGTGCAAAGGCCAAGCTTTTTGGCGACCCGAGAGAGCTGCTAAGCTAGAGATAGGTTGTCTGCTTAAAAGCGGTGCAGAGGCCAAGCTGTTGGTGTCTTTTGAGAGAGTCACTCAGCTGAAAATAGGCTGCCAGCTTGAGAACAGTGTAGAGGCCAAGTTTTTGGCAACCCATGAGAGAGCCGCTAAGCTGGATATATAGGCTGCCTATTTGAAAACATGTAGAGGCCATGCTTTTGGTGACCCGCGAGAGAGCCGCTAAGTTGGAGATATTGGATGTGTGCTTGATAGCAGAACAGAGATAGACCAAGCTTTTGGCGATCCGTAAGATGATTCACCTCGCCTGGACTTGTTGATTTCCTCAGCATTCATATATTTTTGAACTTTTGCCAATAATTTTGGCATGTTCTTTGGTGGTCGCTTCATTATTGAAAAGAGGAATCTTGATAATTGGAGGCCTCCTAGGAAGGCGGTCATGCTGAACTTATCATCGGGCTCCTCGACCTGAAGGACATCCTCGTTAAAATGAATGAGGTAGCTCCTTAGGCTCTCGTTTCGATCCTGCTTTATGCTGAGCAAATGGGTGGCAGGCTTCTGGTGGTGGCGTCCTCTAATGAAGTGTGACATGAAAGACTTGCTCAGCTCAAAAAATGTGCCAATGGAGGTTGGGGAGAGCTTGGCGAACCATTGTCTAGTGGATCCCTTCAAGGTGGTTGGAATTGCTCTGCACATGATTTCGTCAGGGACATTATGTAGTTGTATCAAGGTCTTAAAAGTTTCGAGGTGGTCTAGTGGATCCTTGTATCGTAAAAGGTTTCGACGGATGACATCTTGAATTTATGAGGAAGTGGGTAGTTCACCACGTCATATTTGAAAGGTGTGTCGGTTCGTCTTACGAGGTAGTCCATTGTCTCGGGTTTTGTGCCTTTATGGCGTTGAAGACGTCAACCAATTGATTTTGTACCTCCTTAATTTTTTTGTCCCAGTAATTGGAAGGAGGTCTTCTGGAATTATCATGGAAATGGTTTTAACCCTCATTCTCTTGGAAATGAAAGTCTCCACCATGGGGAGCAGGAGCTAGAGGAAGAGGTGGAAGTTCTTTATGGTGGGCCCCCCTGTGTGGGGCACCCAGGGGTACTCCTAGAGGAAGGGCGCCCCCTTGATGAGGAGTGCCTAGGTGGGGAGTTCTTTGATGGACAGAGTGTGGAGCTCCTCTAACTTGAGGTCTAGGATGTGCTCCTCCTTGTTGTCCGAGTATCAGTTACAGAATCTGCTAATTTTGGACTATAAGCTATTGCATAGTCTGCAGCGTCTACTGCGCATTTTGGATTAGATTGGGTGGAGGAGCAACCTCCTCCTCTCTTGGTGGAATGCTTTCAGGCTGATTCATGGATTTGGTGGTGATCGCCTTTGATTCAACAAATAAAATGTTTATGTGAGAACTTTGTCATTCCCATAGACGGCGCCAAACTGATGATGCACAAATTGGTTTGCACACCACTTTTCAAGTATGCAGTATAAAATACCGTAAAATAAGTAGAGGGAGAGAGAAGACAAGGTTTATAGTGGTTCGGTCAACGTAACCTACATCCACTTTGAATGACAAAGGTCGCTAGTATTTTATTATCTCTAGTATGGAAGGAGAGCATAATGTTACGAACTTTGAGAAAGTAGGAGAGAGTTATGCTCAAATGAGTGAGATGCCCCCCAAGTGTTGGTGGGGCTTACAATTTATTGTGGCTTAGCTAATTTGACGGCCATAACGAGTTGGAGCTGTTTAATAGTCATAACGGATTGGGGTGACTTTAACAGTAATTAAATAGCTTAGTGACCTCTCATTTCCTCAATGGACAAGGAAGTTATGATGCTTTCTAAAGGACTTGGTCAAAGGATGAGAGAAGGTTCACTCTCTCCAAGAGGTGAGGGTGAAGCTCTTGGATGCTTCCTTACTCCAAGGTGGTAGAGGAGGCTTTTGGATGACCCTTACTCCAAGGTGGTAGAGGAGGCTTTTGGACGACCCTTGCTCCAAAGTGGTAGAGGAGGTTCTTGGATGACCCTTGCTCCGAGGTGGTAGAAGAGGCTTTTGGATGACCCTTATTCCATGGTTCTTGAACGACCCTTGTGCCAAGGTGGTAGAGGAGGCTTTTGGATGACCCTTACTCCAAGGTGGTAGAGGAGGCTTTTGGACGACCCTTGCTCCAAAGTGGTAGAGAAGGTTCTTGGATGACCCTTGCTCCGAGGTGGTAGAAGAGGCTTTTGGATGACCCTTATTCCATGGTTCTTGAACGACCATTGTGCCAAGGTGGTAAAGGAGGCTCTTGAATGACCATTGCTCCAAAGTGGTAGAGAAGGCTCTTGAATGAGCTCTTAGATGACCCTGTGCGCTTCTTTATTGATGTAACTTTGGAACTTGATGAGCTTGACCGGGTGCAAACCCCTTTGGACTTGGCTAGTTGGACCTCTTAGAGTTGGGCCCTTGGGCTTACCCCTTCAACAACCATTAGATAAGTAGAGTATCGTATCGAATATTGGGCCCACGATCAATTTAGTGGTTGTGAAATTAGATCAGCAATTTATGTCAATAAATTAAGTCAAAATAACATTGTTTATAATAGGTCACAAGTCTGCATTTTAGGACTTTTTAGACTTTAGGTCCAATCTGAACACTTTTAAGGTCAAAAATCCATAAAAATAGTGTTTAAAAAAATTCTCTTAATAAAGAAAGTCACTTAAAAACCTCCATCACCATTTTATTCTTATATTTATTACCACAATTATTCACTGCCACCACCCACCAAACACCCTCCCACCCAGGCGAGGTGACGAAAAGTCTTCGTTTTCAGTTCGATTTATGCTTCAACTTGACCTCTCTCATTTCTTTTTCTAGGCGACGAACAGTAAGCCCTCTCTCTTTCTCTCTTTATATGTCTTTCTCTCTCTCTCAATTCTCTGTAACACTCTTTGTGTCTCACTGTCAGTCACCTACGCCATAGATCTCTTCTGGATTTGAACCTTCTCCAATTGATCTCTCTTTCCCCTCTCGTGGCTTGTGGTTAGGCTTGTCAAAATCTAAGACGACATGATTAACCGCCATGAATCGACATGAATTAAATGGATTTGGGTGAAACCTTAACGGGTTCGGGTGATAAACGGGTTAACCCATCAGACATGTTTAATACACGGGTCGTGTTCGGGTGAGACTTGTCAACTTGTTTATCATCCGTTTACTCATTTAAAAAAAAAATAATATAATAATAAATTAATAATTATTTTTAAAAAATTAGTCAAAATTAAAATATTATATATAAATATTTGATAAATGAGTAAAAAAAAATCTTACTCCAGAAAAATTAAATACAGATTACTCACTTACCCCCTTTGCAGTGCTCAATGTGGGACCAAACAGTGAACCTGGTTGAGGGTTACCAACCAGTGCTCGAGAGGCTTACCACCTCCATCAACAACACTAGTTGAGGGTTCTTCATGACCTTGGGAATCAACTCAAATGGACGACGAGAACACATAGTGAACATGCACAATAAACACACAGTGAAAGCTTCAAGGAGTACAACTGAACCTGAAAGAAGGGACCTTCAAGGAGCACAACTGAACCTTCAAATGGAAAAAGAGACATCAAGGAGTAGAACTAAACCTGCACAATGAACACATAGTGAAAGCTTTTGACTTGAATCCCACGTCAACAAATTCAAATGAAGGAGACCTCTCATGTCTATAAAAAGATGCAGCCCCTTCTTTTAGTCATTAAACCTTTTCATTTGCCTTTGCAAGTTACAGCCAGTTTAAAATATTTAATTAAGAGAGTACAATTGGTGTGGATAAATAGTGAACTCAAAAAATATTAAAAAAAAATAAGGACATTTTTCATTTTACACCCTAAAAAATTTGAAGATTTTTACTTTGCACCCTTAACGTTTAAATTTGTTATATTGCACTTTCAATGTATCCAAAGTGTTGTAATGTACCCTTTTTGTTACCTTCCGTTATTTTTTTCTGTCAAAATCCAACTCATTTAAAATTTTTCATGGTGCAAAGTATAATTCGCCCAAAACATAAATAGTGAATGTAAAAAACAATAAATTTGAATAGAATAGAACTTCTAGTTCAAATTTTTTTTACAAACAATGAACTTTAAATAAAATGAAACTCCTAGCTCAAAAAATTTCACAAACAATAAATTTTAATACAATGAAACTCCTAGTTCACTATCACAAATAGTGAATTATAATCAATAACAAAATAAATATTTTATCTTTGATTGTAAATTTCACTACCAAGAATAAAGGATCAACCTCAACATTGAAGAAGCAAAATTAAGTAATCGAATACAATATTTTATAAGACCTAAAAAAAAATACAATATTTTATGATTGATTATCA